TCTCTCTCTGTGTATGCATGTATGTATGTATGTATGTATGTATGTATGTATGTATGTGTGTATGTGTGTATGTGTGTGGGTGTGGGTGTGTGCACGCGCGCGCGTTCAGATGGACGGAGGATGACCCTGATACGTCCTACTTCTGTTCTGTCCCTCTGTTGTTCCAGTCTGTGCGATCGTCTGCGTCGCATTTTCCCTGCACTTAATGACAGTTTCTGTGTCGATGTGCTTTTCTTTACTCGAATGCACAAACAATATCTGCCTTCTTCTACTTTCCGTACACCATTAGTTTGTAGTCCAAACAACCCGTTTGTGGAGAACAGAGCCTGATTAGTTTGAATGAAAAACAGAAAGAAAACCAACAAATACTCAAAATAAGACAACAGACTCGGCGTGTACTTGTGTTATAGTCCTGAATTTCGTTCTGCGTTCCGCTTATTTTTTCGTCTCGTTTTCCCTAGCTACCACATAATCTCGTAGTTTCTACTTCTCCATCTCCTCCTCCTCCCTCCCCATCTCATCTCCTTCCTCTTCGTTCCTCTCCGTTGGATTCTCCGACTTCTCCATCTCTTCTTCAACCTACACTCCTCTTCTTTTCTCCTGTTCACCCTTGTCACCTTCGTTTTCCTCATTTCACCCTCCTACTCCACTTCCTCATTCTCTCCGTCTCTCTCCTCTTGCTCCTCTCCCTTCACCACCTCTTCTCTCCTTTCCCTCCACGTCTTCCCTCTCTCCCCCTTCTCCCTCCTCCTCTCTCTCCTTTCTTTCTTTCTGTTTTTTTCCCCCATTTAGCCCTTATATAGATCTGATCGCCACCAAAATAGTGGTGCTATTCTGAGGTGAATTCCTGGTCGAGCAGCTGCAGGAAAATCAATAGGTTCTGATCATTGATCGCTGATTTTTTTTCTTTGTCAGACATGTGTTGTGTTCTTTGCAGCCTCTGTGTGTTTTGCCGACGAGTGACTTATATAGCAATGATCGATTCTTTGCCATGTGTTAGAGTGTGAATACACCAAGAGTTCATCTTTTCCAATGATTTGGGTTCGATTCAATGAGAAATGATAATAACATAACACCTGGAAGGATTGCAATGCATTACTACTTACCCCCCCCCCCTCTCTCTTC